CGAAGAGATATCTTTAATCATGTTGTCACCGCTTACTAACCTGCTACACCTGCAAATATGCAGACCCCCAAACACAATCACCCCATCATCCACGGCCGGTGATTGGTCAGGAACAGATAACAACAGATAATTGACCAATTAATGCTTACATTTTAATCATAATTGTACAAAATTGCAGTGCCCGTGTGTGTTAGGATGTACACATACCTGTTTCCAACCGCGCTCTTCATACCACCACTTCACCGATCTCTGAAGTCCCACACTGATCTACCAGACCGAGGATTCAAAGGTACTGATGCAGTTTTGTCAATTTATCTATGGTGATGCTTTTTTCACGATAACTGTCAACCATGAGAGAACTTTTGTACCAACCAGTCTTCCGAGGGAGATTGCTATGACCAGGGACAAACAGAGATTTGAATGTAAAGTTAATTCTTTTCTAAGCGCAAAACTCTTATAGTGGCAGTACTCCTGCTAAACGCTGGGCCAGAGCAGACATAGAAAAAAACTGTCTTTCTGAACAAGACGCTCCCAAAAGTCTTACTCCAGATGACTTCTAACTGTACCTGTTCTTCAACGAATTCTTGTATTTGTCAAAAGAGCTAGTAAGATGACTGCATTCCTAACTGATTTCCCTCTCTCCCGTACGCCAGACGAATCTTAGTGACACCATGAGGCTGTTCGTGTGTGTGCTGCTCGTGACCATGGTCGTCCTGGCCACGCTGATCGACGACTCCGAGGGTCAACGGAGCAGGCGCAGGCGCAGGCGTAGTGGGCTGGATGTCGAGGCTGAGGGAACGTGCAGCTTTATCGGAGTTATCCCCAAGTATTCTGGGCTTATATCTAGGCGTAACACACTGTTTTTGCATAGCACATTATGCAAGCTGCGTAAGACTAGGTATTGATTTGATTTGGACCCCTTCCCGTTTCGATACCTTATCTTTAACGCGTTCGAGGTGTTGCTCTCCTCAAACATTGGACTCCAATCAAGGAGCTTTCAGTAGAACGTCTGTGGTCCAATCCAGGACGTCTGTATCCTAACTGAGGCTAGGTACGAGGAATACAACCCTTGTGAGTATTTTGTGGCCATTTCTGACTAGAGGTCTGCGTTTTTCCCCTGTTCCATCCCCTCTACAGAAATTAAAAAAAAAACACGAAAAAGGGGGCCGGGGCATCGCTACACGCTGAGAAACTCTCTGTACACGACTCCCATCCTTGTACCACAGTGCCTTTCGTCTTATCAAAGTTGACACAGTACCCTAACATTAATGAGGATACAGACGGATTTTTGTGTCGCCGACGTGACAATTGCTAGATCTGGATATTTGCCACTAAGAACCTTTAAGTTACAATCTGCAAAATGGTTAAGGTTGACTCAAGTTTTTCCAACTTAGGCCACATAGTCTTAATTTTATGGATGACATCCTCTGAAGACCCCCAAACTAGTGCGCGCGGGCGAAAAAAAGAAAAACACGCCCCAAAAATAACAAGGGTGGTGTTTAAAAAACACACCAGCGACGAGAAGTATTTAATAATATGGTAGGAGGCATTGTATCGTGCTAGTGTCATGTATTTTTTGTGGCTCTCATAGGTGAATAGGTCTATGGAGGTAACCGGTTGTTTTGCTATTGTTAGTTCGCTACAGGCGTTTCGATACATGGCAGAAGTCTCTAGATAGTCTAATAACATTAGAAATGATTATCGTATTCCTACATACGCGTACATATTTATAAATGTCAAAGAATGAAATGGCATTTTCAGCCTAGAAGGTTATGGTGGTTTAAGCTCCTTGAGTTAGCGTGAAATACAATTTGCGTGAAATACAAATGCCAGCGGGATACGACACTGATCTCTTCTGCCATGTAGCGAAACGCCTTACCACGATGGAGCGAAACGTACTGTAGCAAACTGACAATGTAGCGAAACGACCTGCATTCTCTATGGATGTAATGCAAGGGTTTTTGCCTGGATTACGTTTGGAAATACCGCCAGGCTCCATAAATATTGATCCTTTCGTTTATTTGTTTGACGTCGGTGTCATACAGGGTTGAAATTTTAAAAAATGCATATCGTACATAATCGATTAAGAATAAAACGTGCATACAATTCTACTCGTCTGAAAAAAATTGCATGACTTGAAAAATAAAACATGCATTCTGAAACATGCACAGTATATTGCAAGACAAGGACATATTAAATTTTATTCACAATCCGGCGCCGTTGCAGGCAGTCATGTGTTCCAAAGCAGGAACGCTACCGAACGCGTTAAATGATTTCGCAGCAAGAACAACATTCCTTACCTGACTATGTTGAATAAAGATTGTACATTGCATACATGATAAACATCAGATGAACACTACTCTTGTGATTCTATGGGACAACACTTGTAAGTTTTACCACAGGTTTTACACACTCTTATCATTTTCTAGTTTTGCATCACAA